AATCCGTGTCTACCAAGAATGCCTGGAGTTGTGAGGCCACCACACGTTCCATGACTTTGCCCAAAAAGGGGAGATTGGAAACAGGCCGATAGTTGACGAATTGAGTGGGGTCCAGTGATGGTTTTTTCAACAGCGGTTTTATTACAGCTTTATTATTATTATTATTATTATTATTATTATTATTATTATTATTATTATTCTGTGTCAGGAGCAACTTGAGAAACAGGTCAAAGGTTCAAACTTGGGGAGAGCGCAGATGAGCTCCTTCTGCCAGCTCCAGCTCCCTATGCGGGGACATGAGAGAAGCCTCTCACAAGGATGGTAAAACATCAAACATCTGGGCTTCCTCTGGGCAATGTCCTGGCAGACGGCCAATTCTCTCACACCAGAAGCCACTTGCAGTGTTACATAGTGCAATTCACCTAATCAGCATATCAGATACTTACATTATGATTATCTATATAAATAAAAATGTAATGTTCATTTGTGGGATTAACATAACTCAAAAACCAGTGGGCCAATTGACACCAAATTTGGACAGCATAGACCTAACAACCCAATGTATGTCCTTCACACAATTTTTTTTATTTTTGTCATTTGGGAGTTGTAGTTGCTGGGATTTATAGTTCACCTACAATCAAAGAGCGTTCTGAACTCCACCAATTATGGCATTGAACTAAATGTGGCATACAGGGCTCCCATGACCAACAGAAAACACTAGAAGGGTTTGGTGGGCATTGATCTTGAGTTTGGGAGTTGTAGTTCACTTACATCCAGAGAGCACTGTGGACTCAAACAATGGTGGATCTGGACCACACTTAACAGGAATACTCAATATGCCCAAATATGAACACAGATGGAGTTTGGGGAAATAGACCTTGATATTTGGGATTTGTAGTTACTGGGATTTATAGTTCACCTACAATCAAAAAGCATTCTGAATCCCACAAATGACAGAATTGGGGCAAATTTCCCACACAGGACCCCCATTGAAAGGGTCTTTGAGCGAAATTTGCAAATACTAAGCAAGGGGCTTTGAATGAAATTAACAACAAAAGAGAAATATACCCTTTCTCTGTAGAAAAAGAGCAATACGGAAGAAAATGTTTTTAAGAAACAAGATGTGACATCTTGACGTACAAGAGGGTACTTTCTTACACAGGATGTTGTGTTGTGGTTAACTTCAAAGGTTGTGGTAAAGTGCAGAGTATGCATGTACAAGAAGGTACTTTCCATCAAAAGGTCAAGGGAGGGGGGCTGGAAAGAGAGTACTTTCCATGACAAAAAATTGTTCTTGTTTACTTGAGGTTATATAATGGTGGTCAAAAGCCAAGGGGGCACGGCAGTCACTTGAAGGGTAGCATCTGCGTATGCTCCCAGGCTGTCCATCTTCTTCATGAAGAAACTAAAAATAAACCTTGTTTTTTGATCTTTCATTGGGACTGTCTCCTTCCTTTCGTGCTCTTGCAATGTGGACCTAAGAAGACCCAATTTAGGGTCTCTAACACCATGACCAACAGAAAATACTTAAGGCCATCCAGTCCAACTCTTCACCAGGGCAAGAAAATGCAGCCAGAGCCCTCCTGACACAGAACCATCCAACCATAGATATAGATAGATAGATATGATTCAAACACACACAGAGATAATAGTATCATAGATTTGAAAGGGACCCCTAAAAAAGGACTATGATATGTTGCATATTCCAGAGGAGGCAAACCAGACACTCTCCACATCAACACTGGCAAAGAAGCAGCAAGAAATACTGTTTACCCACAAGCATAAAGACATTACATAGATTAGAAACCAACACTTTCTCATTGCTTTATTTTCCAGATCACCAGACTGGGCCACAGCAACGCGTGGCAGGGGACCGCTAGTAACAGTAGTAAAATTACAGTTATGAAGTAGCAATGATAATAATTTTATGGTTGGGGGTCAGCACAACATGAGAAACTGTATTAAGGGGTCGTGTCATTAGGAAGGTTGAGAAACACTGCTATAGAAGGACCCCAAGAGAAGCCTCAGATGGGGAGGGAAGGCTGGCTGGCCGTACATGATGATAAGCATCGCTTTGTTTGCAGTGTATATTTCATTAGCGGGCCTCTTGTTGACAGCAAACAAAGCCAGGCGAGACACGTTTATGAGTATTTCACAACATGGGAGATGATGAGAGTGAAGTGGGTGGGGGTCTGTCTGCCCTCTTCCCCAAAGGACAATATGAAGAAGGTGTCCTTTGAGGAAGAGGGCAGGCAAAGCAGAAGAAACCCACTTTATGTCATTCAAATGATCTAATTCCTTTCTGCAGTAGGTTTTTTTTGGATGGGAGACTCAAAGATTGGTTCACTGTGTGTGTATGTGGAGGGAACTCTATTGGGATATGAAGCCACAAGAGCAAACAGCCAGACTCTCAAGAGAGATTGGCAATATTTATTTATTTTATTTACTAGCCATCCCCTGCCACGTGTTGCTGTGACCCACTCTGGTGGTCATGGGGGTTCCGTGTGGGAAGTTTGGCCCAATTCTATTGTTGGTGGGGTTCAGAATGGTCTGTGCAGAGGCGGCTCATCCATTACGCGAAGTAAGCGGTCGCAGAACACTTTTTTTGCCAGGGGCACAGAGGCACCTCTGAGTGCAATAGCTTGGTCTGTTGGCTCTAAAGTGCTCAATTAAAGTGCGTCATGGAGGACTAACTTTAATGCTAGACGGTTTAATCGATTAAAGTGCTGCGGCTCAGTAAAGCTAATATATCACTGAGATGATAAGTTAAAGTGCTGATAGAATAAGTGCTAGAGTCACATAAAATATTTGTCCAATATGCTTTCCAACGGTACAACAATTAGTTCTTAAACTCTCCGTTCAGTCAGCATAATGGTCAGCACAATCAAGGATGCTTGAGTACACTAAATAAGAAATGAAGAAATATACAGACAATAGATATACTAAAATCCCCAAATTAACATTGTTTGGAAAAAGGTTTTTTATACACATGCTTGTCTACCTTTTGAGTGCTAGAATTACATTTCAATCTTAAAAGCTGTGAGTATGGTAAATTGGATTTCAGTGAATGATGGTGAAACCCCATTTGGGATCAGAACCCACAATTTAAGAAGAAGTGGATTAGAGCATTCTGGGGCCTATTCTATCCCAAAGGTAAGCCATTTTGGCATATTATCCCATTGCATTTTGGAGAAGGAAGACCCAGTTTGGAGTAACAATTTGAGCATCACACTGGGACACTTGGGAGACCAGAATTCTTTTTTTAATATATTTTTATTATTATTTTATCTTAGTTCAATACATTTGTTATGCATTGTTTATTTTACAGCAGATACATATTATTCAATACAATCTACCATTCTTTAAATGTTGGCATCTAGTGTTATTTTTCTGCTTATACATATTATCTATCCCTTACCACTTTGCTCCCCTCCCCCCGCCCCAAGCCATGGCTTTTACTTATCATCTGTCCAAAATTTCAGTTCTTCTTGTGGAGGTAACTTTCCTTCTTTCTTTTAAAATCCTTTTTCAATAAATTTTCTCCATACATAATCAAAATCACTTTGTTTCCATATACCTCTTTTATAAATTTTAATATACATGTCAGCTTATTATTTATTGCCAATTTCCATACTTCCTTGTACCACTCCTCTATTTGTATATTTATTTCTCTTTTCCAATTCCTTGCTATAAGTGCAATAATTGGTAATGACGACAGGAATGGAACAACGGAAAATGATACTGGATTGTGGTTTAAACGATGAGACAACGTGAATGGCTTTTTGTATTATTGATATTGTTGATGTTTTGATGATGATGTTTTTGGTTATTGCTAGATTGATATTTTAGATTGTGTCTTGAATTTTGAACCTTGTTCTTTCTATGTTGTACACCGCTGTGAGTTGCCCCCGGGCTGAGAACAGCAGTATATAAGCAAAGTAAATAAATAAATAAATAAATAAATGCTATAAGCAATCTTGCTATTGTTAATAAGTTTTGTTATCACATCTTTATCTTCTTTTTTCAATTGTTTATTATTATATAATGATAATAAAGCTGTACTAGGACTTCTTTCTATTTTAATGATCATTATATCTTCTATTTTTCTAAATACTTCCCCCCCCCCCAAATTATTTACCTTGCTACCACATATGTATATATGTTCCTGATTCTTGGCATCCTCTCCAGCAATTTTTTTATTAGTTTTTATTTATATTTGTTATTTTTACTGGTGTTGGGTACCATTTCCATATTAATTTACAGTAATTTTCTTTAATCTGTATTGATAATTTTTTTTAGATGTCTTTGTCTCCATCATTGTTGCCACTGTTTCATTTATTTTTATCCCTCAATCTTCTTCCCAGACCTCCTTGAGGATGTTGTTTTTGGTTTTTCCTTCCTTTATTTCAATTATTATCTTAAACAGAGAGGGGAGGTTGGCCACAGCAACACGTGGCTGGTACCGCTAGTTTTTAATATACTTGTACAAGCATTCAAATCCTGGCTCTGCCAAGGAAACCTACTGGGTGACCTTAGGCAAGCCTCAGCCTCAGATGAAAGCAAAGCCAACGTCCTTGCAGACGGCCAATTCTCTCACACTAGAAGCGGCTTGCAGTTTCTCAAGTCGCTCCTGACACGACAAAAAACAAATCTGCCCGGGTTCAATGGTATGGGGTCGATTCGAAGGCAAACAACAATCACAACGCCAAAGGGAAGCTGTACACATTGCGCGCCCCCTTGAGGCCGCTTGAAGGGCTGCAGCGAGCGAGCGTTCCTTCCTCCCTCTGTCGCTAAGCCCCGCCCCCTCCTCGCGGCCGTTACAACGCCTCCATTTCAACCTGGCTTTGCGCTCTTCTGCCTTCCTTCATTATACCACAAGAAAGCAGCGATTGGTCGAAACCTCAAAAGGAGGCGTGGCCACAGCAGCATTATTTCTATTTTCTTTAGCTGCGCACTACTCCCCGCCCCCTCCTAAACATCGCCGGCTTTGAGCCTTCCAGCCAGGCCTCTATAGCCGCACGCGCGCGTTTTGCGAGGACCCTTATTTAGCTGCCTGTGCCATTCGCCTGATTTGAATTGACTGGCGAGAAGCGTACCCTCCCGGTTACGGGACAAATCCTCAGAGGAAACAACATACTCATAAGCGTGTGGAGTGGACGAGAGGGTGGGAACTTATCTGCGTGTTGAGTGGAAAGTTTTTTATCGACAAACAAATCAGGCAGCATCGTGGACGGCTCTGAGTCATCGGGCGCGAGAAAGTCGGTCTGAGGGGAGGAGGGGCCCTGGCGGGGAGCGAAACGCGCCAAGTTTCCCCGTTGAGGCGGCGAGAAGGGGGCTCCCGAGGAGGAGGCCAGAAGCGGAGGGAGAGAGGGAGGCCTGCTCGTTTCCTCCCCGCTGGGACGCCGAGCCTGCCCCGGAGGATGTAGCGGGTGAGGAGGCGCCGGCGCCGCCGCTTTCCCGCCTTTGTCGCTCGGAAGTGCCGAGGAAAGTTCCCCCGCGCCTGAGGGGAGCTGCGAGCCGAGGAGGGTGGAGGCCAAGCCCTTCCATTGCTCGATTACACTCGGAAGGAGCTTTTTAAAGAAACAGCATAATTATAATAATGAGCTGAAAGCTTTAAAAAACCCATCTCCTTCGGCTCTATTCGAAATCCACCCTCTTTTTCATTTCTTTTTTTTCTACACTGGCCATTTAATGCGGTTTCGAACCGGTGTGGGAAGAAAGTGATTTCGTAGGAAGTAAATAATTTAAATATAGTAAATAAATAAGTCTGTTTGAGGCCCGGATGGTGACCACAGAGCACTGATGCACATAAAGGGCTTCCTTTAGTAGGAGTTTGGGTGGCCTCCACGAGTATCGAACCGCATTAAATGCCCAGTGTAGAAGGGGCCTCAGTCGTGTTTCAGTTCTGCTTTATTTATCTCCTTTTCCCTTCAATCGACATGAAATTTTTAAGGGGGAAGGTGCCTTTAAATCGAAAGGGAACGGCGGGTTTCCATATCGACGGGATTGTAATAATAATACTCAATGGGGAAGAGGGTAACGGTCGCTAAAAGTTAACGCCGCTTTCTCAAACGCTTCAATTAAAAATACTCAGGATTGCTGTGAGTTTTTCGGGCTGTATGGCCATGTTCTAGAAGCATTTTCTCCTGACGTTTCGCCCACATCTATGGCAAGCATCCTTAGAGGATGAGGGGTCTGTGCAGCCCGGAAAACTCACAGCAACCCAGTGATTCCGGCCATGAAAGCCTGCGACTGTACTCACTGTCGACGTTTGAAACTCGTGTTTTCACTTGTGTTGCTCCCCCAGAATAAACGTCGCAGGACTTTAAACCAATCCAAGCCGTGCCAAGCTTCCTAGCCATCTCAAAAATATGACTTATTTAAAGCGCCAGGATCAACCCCCGCGCAAAGTTCAACAGCTTTGCCTGCTCTGGTTTACTCCTGGAGTTGTGCCGTCACAATACATTGCTGCCACTTGTGGAGACGGGGAAGCAAAGCTCAACGTGGTCACGTCTGTGTCTTATATGCTTTCACAGGCATAGCTGCCGCCTGCTCCCTCTCCCGCCTGCCTGCCTGCTTGTCTCCCTCCACCTTTTGGCGAGGGGACCATGCCCGGCCTGTTGCCCAGTGACAGTAATGGACTTCCCAGAGGCAGCCCGACGAAAAAAGGCAGGCTGTCGCTGAAGTTTTTTCAGAAAAGGGAAACCAAAAGAGCGCTGGATTTTGCAGAGCCGCCAGGAAATGAGCAAAAGACTTCAGAATCCGAGTGTTCTGAAATGTAAGAGTTTTGTGGGGTTTTTTTTAGTGGTTCCTTGCAATATCACCAGAACTTTGAAGGTGTTTTTTTTTGTGCATCTTCCAATTTTGTATTTACTATATGTGTGTATATACTGTACTGATAATTATTATATGGACAATGAATGGTAGATTAAAACACAGCAATATAGATAGGAATATAGTTATCATTACTTGAGCACTGTCTTATTTAACTTTTAATAGAATGTACAGGGTGAGGCAGCATAACTTCCTTTTTTCAAAACTTAATAAAACCCATTGTATGAATCAGAATTTTTAATTTTTTTTTATAATGTAGGTGCATACCTAAAGTTTTGTTTTACGTAGTTTTGGATATCAAATTAGGTAGGTGACATCCCCCATTCTCCATGCACTGAGTAAACTGATTTCTGGCGTTTGTCATGACTCTTGCCAGCATAGCAGGCGTTATGTTGGCAATTTCTTCCAGGATATTGGTCTTCAGATCTTATAGGGTCCTTGGACGGTTCACATACACACAGGATTTCAAAAAAACCCATAGAAAAAAATCATAAGGGCCAAATCTGGAGAGTGGGCCAGCCACTCCAAATCTGCTCGAAAAGTAGGCCTCAATGGCAAAAGCACACTCCTCACTGTTCCAACACATGATGGCGACTAAACTGTGTCAGGACAAAACTTTATACTCCCGCCTCTCGAACGAGACCACTAGCACTCCACTACATCTTCAATCAACTGAATGGCACGCATTTTAAAAAAGGAAGTTATGCTGCCTCACCCTGTATAACCCACCATCTATTTATTTACACCTAATTTTTCTTCCTCTTGGATGTTACCAATTTTCTTCTAATTGTCTTATATGATGTTGCCGTAAGTTTTCTGGGCTGTTTGGCCATGCTACAGAAGCATTCTCTCCTGACATTTCACCCACATTTATGGCAGGCATCCTAAGACGTTGTGAGATCTGTTGGAAACTAGGCAAGTGAGGTTTATATATCTGGAATGTCCAGGGTGGGAGAAATAACTCTTGTCTGTTTGAGGCACGTGTGAATGCTGCAATTGATCACCTTGATTAGCACTGAATAGCCTTGATTTTAGAGTTTTTTAAATACTGGTAGCCAGATTTAGCCCAACAAAGGACCAGCTAACGCAGGCATCCTCAAACTGTGGCCCTCTAGCTGTTTGGGTCTCCAACTTCTAGAAGCCCCAATGAGCTTGTTCAATTGCCAGAAATTCTGGGATTTGAAGGCACAAACAGCTGAAGGGCCGCAGTTTGAGGATGCCTGAGCTAACATCTCCCAACAAAGGATTTCCCCAGGAAGGAAGCAGCCACCCTTTGAAGCTGCAAGTTGTTCAGTGCTAATCAAGGTGGCCAGTTGCAACATTCACACTTACCTAGTTTCCAAAAGACCTCACAACCTCTGAGGGTGCCTGCCATAGATGTGGGCAACAGGGCAGGAGAGAATGCTTCTGGAACATGGCCATACAGCCCAGAAAACTCACAGCAACCCAGTGATTCTGGCCATGAAAACCTTCAACAATACATTGTCCTATATGGATTATAACTCACGTGATGCCTGTGAGGGGTACCTTATTTTAGTGCCCATAATTTTATTTTTAATGTAGTTGACATATTGTACACTAACTATGGTCAGGGTAAGCATTATCCAGTTTGTTTAGACCTTTAAAACAGATTTTCAATGGAAAGGAATTAAGTAGCAATCCCATGTGACTTTCCTGGGAGGATGCTCCTGTGCATACAGTAGGATTTGCTTTTGAGTAGATGAACATCAAGTAATTTTAAATCTACACTATTTATTTATTTATTTATTTATTTGAAACATTTATATTCCTCCCTTCTCACCCCGCAGGGGACTCAGGGCGGAGCACAACATATATACGGCAAACATTCAGTGCCAGGACATAAAACCATAAATATACACAAACATTAAAATCACTTATATCCACTTTAAAATCAGTTGCTTAAAAACCATCCCAGGACACCATTCTGTTATTGCCTCATTGTATTGTCCCAAAGGCTTGGTACCATAGCCAGGTCTTCACCATCCTTCTGAAGGACAGGAGGAAGGGGGCTGATTTAATATTGCTAGGAAAGGAGTTTCATAGCCAGGGGGCAATCACTGAGAAGGCCCTGTCTCGTCTTGGAAATAAATAGGGATTAACACTTTATCTATGGTTAGATTTTTATTCTGAGTCCCACTTTCATAGGAAAAGGATTAGACCAGTGTCCTAAGAAAGAGTTTTTATTATAAGTTTACATTTTGTGGAAAGTTTTTGAGGATGCATTTCAAGAATTCTGAGATTTTATCTTTGCACACTTTTTAGCTGCTTATACAGTCTCTGCACACACAAAAGAAATACTGGTTATGTAGAGCAGGAGTGAGAAATTGGGTTGGTCCCATTGATAGCTGCCTGTAAAACATCTCAGCAAGGTGTATGACATCAGAACTGTCTTGTGATGATCCATTAAAACAATCACTCTCCCCTTTCCTGATATTTATCCTTTAGATGGTAATCAAGACTTTTTCTCTGTCTAGAGAGGCAAAGAAAAGGAGGCCTTGAGTGTTGCCGAGAAATGGAGCAGGAGGAACCCCTTTACATACTGGGTGGGCCTTATACTATTTCTTCTAATTAGGATGGCACACTAAAAGGATTCTGTTAATACTTGAAGGAGCAAATCCTTCAAACTGGCTGATTTGCATGCTAATGAAAGGACATCAGTTACTTCCTCTTTTTAGTCTTCTTGCTAGTACTACATCAAGACAGTTTCTATCTCTTTCTCTTGTTAATGCACAGGTAAGAATCTCCCAAAGTTCTTCCCTGTGCAATAAGAGAGAGAGATGTTTCTTGCTGTAGCAGTAGCTTGAGGAAAGAATGGGTTTCATCTCCTAATTGTAGTGTTGAAAGAGTGGGCAGAATCTGGAAGAGAATTGCTATCAGCTGGAATTAACATGAGATGGATAGAAGTTCCCTGCCTGGGGTAAAGGCCTTACTTGCTACACATCCAGTTCCATTAATTAATAGCTTTATAGCTAAAGAATGGCTAAAAAGTCATTCCAGTGTTTTAGTATGGGACATTTATATCTAAAATTTAGGTGTGATTTAATTTAGATTGCATCCTGTTACCATTCGTAGCTGGACTAAATCTTACTGAAATCAATGTATGTTCTAGTGAACAGATATAGGATTGGTCTGTCAGAAAATATGTAATGTCTTATACAAATAAAGAAATTATCATTCTTCTTTGCATAATAGTGAGCAGATAGTTCCTACAGCACAGCCACTTTCACCTGTTTGCTGTGAGAAGAAAGACATCATGCTACCTTTTGTGGGCTTGAACAATCTTGGCAACACTTGCTATCTGAACAGTATACTCCAGGTAAATTCATAAAAGAATTAAAACATTAAAGTTAAATGTTTCTGTTCTACGTATCTTAAGATTCCTGGATGGCACAGATTATTGATGAGATTGGGGGAAGTTATATGTGGACTAGGTCACTTCTGACATTTGGAAAGATCAGTGACACTAGCTATTTCTCTTTAGTTGGCTAGTTAGATGTTTTGGAAGTTCTCTTTTCCATCATTATGCCCTGCTATCAACCACTGTATCATAAATTGATTTTGTGCTTAACCTAACGGGGTGTCTTGGTTTAGTGAAAGTATTGCTTAACTCTTCACTGTAATCAGTGGAATTTGAAACTGCTGATTTTGCCCATTCTTTTCAATCAGCTTTTCCAGTTCTGTTTACAATGGTGCACAATAAAATCAGAGAAGCACAGAGTAAAACAACAGTAACACTATGAACGCAGGAGACAATAAAAAACAGCAAGATTATGAACATGAGAACTACAAGCAAATCACAATATAATGAAACTTGCTACAAAGTAATTTGGCAAGGCATATGTCTTCCTAAAGCACATCTCTTCCTTGGGGGTTTTATAACATATTTAACTCTTTAATGCCATTTTTAATAAGAAAAAATAGGGGAACTAGTTCTTTTTGTTTCAAAATGAAATTCTGAGCATGCTATTATGCAAAATTAATAAAAGTAGTAATCTAAACTCAATTTCTATAAAAAAAAGTAATTACTTGTCGATTACAACTGAAATACCACTTCTCCATCTTATCAGTTAACTCATTTGTAGAAATACAAATAGGCAGTCAATTCCAGTGAAAATATTTCCAATACATTGATGTACTTTGAAGTTCTTTAGTAAGCATTCTCTGGTCAGTTACTTAAGTCAGCAACAGATGACATCTGCACTAAATTCAGTCTCTGGATCGATACTGTTTGGCCCTGCACTTGCCAGTCCAGAGCAAAAGTTATTTAAAAGATTGAGTCATAGATTGAGGTGCATGTTATGATAGTTATCCCATGGCCTCTTTCTTTTGATTATTTTCTTCTCCCCCCACCCCCAAAAGTAATTGTAAAGTCATAGCTGTCAAGTACCACATTCTTATTTTCATAGTCCCCCTGTGAGATGAGATGAGATAAGATAGATAAATAATGTAAGAGATAGTAGCTAGTTCAGAATGATCCAATTGACAATGGGTAGAAGAAGATTTAATGCAGGTCTCTGGTCAAAATTGGCACTGTGAAGCCAATATGTGTCATACATGTATAATTAAAAAGAAATGTTACGTGCGTTGTCATCCATCAGCTTAGAATTCTTGTCCTTATTTTAGGTGCTGTATTTTTGCCCTGGCTTTAAAACTGGAGTGAAACAATTATTCAACATAATTTCCAAAAAGAAGGAAAGCTTAAAGGATGAAATAGATAAGGTGAGGATATATCCATATTAGAGATGTTAGAATTTTAAAAGGTCACTGTATTGTGGATTTCATCATAAATGGGTTTTGTCTTTGGAAGGAGATAAATGGTGAAGAGTTAGACCTGTTGCAAACTAGCCTCCTGCGGGAGCAAACTGTGCCAGCACGTCCCTGATGTCATGAGACTCCGCCTCTCTCCCCGCCCCTTTCTCCGCCTCTTTCTCCGTGCCAGAGTGGTTTTTCCTTTGCTAGGGCAGCATTGCCAGCGTACTCTCGTTGTTGAATTCTGTCAACAACGAGAGTACGCTGGCAATGCTGCCCTAGCAAAGGAAAAACCACTGGCGCGGAGAAAGGGGCGGAGAAAGGGGCGGAGAGAGAGGCACAGTCTCATGACGTCAGGGACGTGCTGGCACAGTTTGCTCCCGCAGGAGGCTAGTTTGCGGCGGCTCTTATGAATGCTTGGTTGCTGTGAGTTTTTCGGGTTGTATGGCCATTTCCAGTAGCATTCTTTCCTGACATTTGGCTGGCATCTCCAGATCACTGAAGATGCTGGCCAAAGATGCAGGCAAAACGTCAGGAGAGAATACTACTGGAACATGGCCATACAGCATGAAAAACTCATAGCAAGCCCATGATTCCAGCCATGAAAGCCTTCAACAACACAGTTGTGAATGTTGTAGCAAAGTATACCTTATTCATGTATAGGTTTAGAAACTAGTTAAAAATCAACTCAAAAACGGGTTGCCATCCACAGGTCAATGTCAGTACTATACCTTTACTCTTACTAAAATTAATTAAAGAATCGCCACCTCTGAATAAACTGGCAAAAGATGAGAGCTTAGTTAATCCCTGGAAAACCTAAAAGAAACACTAACTGCCTCTATTCTCTCTGCCATAGTCCTGTTTCTGGCTTTTTTTAATGTCTGAGTGGGGAAACGGTTGTAGTTATTGGTGGGCAGCACCAACTTTGCCTTTATCTTGTTAATTCTCACAATTAAAACATTTACTTGCTACATTTTACACAGTGTGATTTTGCTGCTTTGAGGTGATGTTAACAAAGAAAAGAAAAACATAAATGTTGTGAGAAAAGGATTTATGTACTGTATGTAGCTAGCTAAAATAATAGGCAAATGTAAACTTTGAGAAGGAAATAATTATTTTCTCTGACTTTACAGGGGACAATTAAAGAAGATTCTCTTGCAGGCTATGAATTGGTCTGCAGTTTACACTCCCTGATCATTTCAGTTGAACAGCTTCAGGCCAGCTTCCTCTTAAGTCCAGAAAAATACGCAGATGAACTTGCTACGCAACCAAGAAGACTCCTAAACACACTAAGGTAGGCATATTTTAAATAGTTGCATTTCTAACCATAACTGAACCAAATTATTAACCTCAATGTTTTGAAATGAGAAGATAACCTCCTATTAAAGATGTTGAGTTATTAAGTAGAATTCCCAGAATCTTCATAGCATGTCTGTTTATGTCTAGTCACATAAAAATGAGGTACTGTGGCAATTATGCAGGGTAGTTTGTTCAACTGTTCCATGATTGTTCCTAGTGCCCATCTTATATTGTAGACAAGTCTAATGAATTACATAACTGACAAAACTAGGCAGTATATAAAGCTTTTTATACACACAATGATAGAGCATTATTAGTGGATTACTATGTTTACATTATGTGGGGCTTTCCTGCTATATTTTGTTAAATGCGTGTAGCTCTGTTTCAAACTTGCCAAAATAAAATGCCTAATTTTTGACTGACTTGAGATATGTCAGCTGCTGATTTATGTTACGTTTTGTGATTTTATAGAGAACTCAACCCCATGTATGAGGGATATTTGCAGCATGATGCCCAAGAAGTTTTGCAGTGTATATTGGGTCATATCCAAGGAACATGCCAGCTCTTAAAGGAGGAACTTAAACATAAATCATTGCAAGCACCCACACCTGAACTGAGAAAAAAATCCAGTCAGAATAGTGAAAGTAATGGTATTCTTGAACAAGATGATCATGTGCTTGATGATCAAGTGAAAAAGAACTGTGAAGATCAAAGTAAAGGAAGTGTGAAAAGAAAGAGTGATATTGAAGGAGGCAATGAAAAGAAAAAATCCAGAGTATGCAAGGAGAAAAATGAAGTCGAAGAAAATATAAGACAGACTCGGTCAAAGAGAAAAGCACTAGAAGAGAAACGGGATAATCATCCTGAAGCTTCCATTGATGAAATGAAAATACACATTGAGATTGCTAAGCCAAGCAATAAAAAATCAAGGCTTAGGTTAAACTGGTTAAAATCTTCAAGCAACCAGCCTAGTATTTTGTCTAAATTCTGTAGTCTTGGAAAATTAACAACAAACTTCGGGTTGAAAGATCATATCAAAGAAATTGATAACTGTGAATTTCCAGGCAAGTGTGAAAAAAGCAACCAACCAACGGAAGAATATTATGATTCATCATCTCCCAAGGAAAGCACTGCTGAAAAAGGAACTGAAAACCCATTTCAGAAAGGTTAGATTATATAAAGAACTTTTTTGAGAGGGCGGTGAGTGTGATATCAGCTTGCTTATCTGTTTACCTGGGCAGTCTAATTTACTAGCAAGTGTTGTAGCAGTAAAAGCTTGTAATTGATTATTGACTGTTAGAGGAGAAGGAATAAGCCATGAACGGTTTCCTTGACTGTTCTTATTAATTGCAGTCATGGGGGGTTAGCCCTTATTTTCTAGTTTATTAAGTATAGAAGGAAGAAAAATAAACAGATCATGCACATATACATAGATAAGCTTTGTGTCTTACACAATTTTACAATATACAGATTGCAAGTGTTGAGTGTTTGCCCTAAGCAAGCAGAGCAGTGACAAACTGCAAGGCTGCAATGACAACATGAGTTGATAAATGAACAGTTTGGAACAGATTAATATATATCTTTCCAAACCATCTGCATTTAACTGGAAAATTAAGATCTTTTTATGTTTTGAACTTTTGTATAAATAGAAAACAAATTCATGAACACAATTATAGGGGTTTTTGGTGCATGGGTGGAATAGTAGAGGGATTCTTATCTATAAGAATTGAGTGAGTGTCCCTACCATAGATGTTAAAAGATCATTTTAGCTCACTTTGTTGGAGTAGATTTCCAACATAGTTAAGGTGCTTTCATTACTCGTAGAACTTTCTGGTCAATTTTTTTTAGGTTATACTCACGATGTTTCAGAGCCCAGTCTGTCTATGAAGGAGAGTTCAGTGTAATCTGTTATATACTTTTCTTTTGGTACAGAGTTAGCTGGCTTTGATTTAGTAGAGAGACTTTTCCAGGGTCAGTTGGTGTTGAGAACAAGATGTTTAGAGTGTGAATGCTTCACTGAGAGGAGAGAAGACTTTCAAGATATCAGTGTACCAGTACAAAAAGATGAACTGTCCAAAGTGGAAGATAATTCTGAAAGTAAGTACTATGGCAGTAAAGGATTTAAGGATGCCTATGATTCATGCTTAGTACTGTCTGTTAGAAAGTTTTAAAGAAGACGTAGACGAATTGGAACAAGTTTAGAAGAACAACCAAAATGTCAAGAGTTTTGGTAAACCATTCCAAAATAGGAAAGCTTACAGTGCTTTAAATATGAAAGAATGTTGAGGGGTTTTTTTGTGAACGGTGGATGGCCCACGAGGTCTCTTTCAACTTAAGGATTATATGATTCTAAGATTGCCATAATATTTTCCCATGTCTATTGTGGTTCATTAATGAATATACTTCCTTTGTATAGTTTTATTACTACTTTCTCAACTGCATGACTGACATCCTACAGAAATGAAGCAAACTAACACAAAAATGCAGAGCATTGTTGCCTACATCAAACCCATCTTAGAAAATTTTCCTTATGTAACTTTAGTCAAAGAATTAGAGTTTGAAAGGGGTTTGTAGGCTATCGCGTTCAACTCCCTCATCAGTTTTGGAAATGCAAAAACAGAATACCCCAACTGATGGCTGCCCAGCATGGGGCAGCTCATCATATTTTAGTTGTTTCTATCATTGAATCATTATTGCTATTAAGAAACCTTTTAAACTGTTCAATTAAGATCTTCTATCCCATGATGTAAGCCCCATTACATTTGCCTTGCTTTCTAGGGTAGCCAAGGACAGGCTTTTGATGGTTTTTCATTTTATTTGAGGAATTCTATGCTGTCCCGTCTACTCCAGGCTAAAATAACTAGTTTCTTCAGGGATTTCTGATATGATTAGTTTACCATAACTCTTAACATTTTGGTTGCTCTTCTAAACCTGTTCCAATTTGTCTACATACTTCAGGTATGGTGTCTGAAATTGGTCATAGTATTCCACAGTCAGGTGTTTACAGAATGAATTGAACCATTACTGTTTCATGATTTTGAAATTATCATTATATAAATCTAGCTTAAAATGCTTTTGTGTGGAAGTTGGATTATTGATGGATTGATGCTTTTCATAGCCGGGAGGGGATGTTATACATATATTCCTGTACAGTGGTTTATCTTTCAAACATTTTTATACTCTTAGTGCTATTTTTCTTAAAAGCTAGAAAATCTCTTCAGTATCTTGAAGAGACAACAAAGCAGACTCTGTAAGCAAGAACAAACTTTCCACACTACAGAAAGGCAAGGCTGCATTACACTGAGACCTGAGGACCTGATGTATACATTGCAGGAATAGGCTTGAAGCACCATGGGCCATTTCCACGTAAAGCAGGGTTGGTTTAGTATTGGATCCGGCTTTTAGGTGTCCTCGAATTATAACATAATTTTCCTCGCTTCAGTCATAATGTGACTAAAGTGCAACTTTTCATATTAGGGTTTTCTTAAAATATTTACCATATTGTAATTGTCTTTTGCATTTCAGAAGGTATGTGTTAAAATATATGTATTTACTATATTGTGTTAAGCAATCATATCTCTTAAAGTTTCCCCAGAGCCCAAAACGGAAGTGAAAACGCTGAAGTGGGCAATTTCACAATTTGCTTCTGTGGAGAGGATTGTGGGAGAAGATAAATATTTCTGTGAAAATTGTCATCATTACACAGAAGCCGAGCGGAGTCTTCTTTTTGATAAAATGCCTGAAGTTATAACAATCCATTTGAAGTGCTTTGCTGCTAGTGGATTAGAGTAAGTATGGTGAATAAGCTACATGAAAAGTTCTGGTCACTGTAAATGAAATGTTCTCTTTAGTGAACAGATGACTATAGAAAGCACTGCTGAACTCTCCACAGATTAGTGGTATTTTCTGAAGCGGGAAACTAGGTTACATATCTGCCTTTGTGAACAGTTTAGAACTTGGAAAACCAGGTTTCCATATTGCATAAAAAGTATGCAAGAGCAGAAAAGATCTGCTTCAGAGGCACTCTTCAGTTGTGGAGGTTGAGAGAGCTCTCTGCATCTCTTTGCATGTTTCATAAACATAGAAATAAGGCACGTGAATAGAGATATAATTGAACACCGTGCTTCCAGCAGAACACGTTTACCTCTTTTGTCTTAATGTGCTTAAAGCAAGAAAATCAGAACTATGCCCATCTGTCTTCAGCTTGAATTTGAAAAAGGAGCTGATGTTGAATAGAGCTGAGCATATTGTATCTCCTTTCACAATGGAAAATGGAGTGTGAGGAAGGCTGTAACTAAAATGCCTTGCTTCCATTCATTAATGAATGAGGCATATTTGAAACTTTGTGGAGAAATACGTAATGAAAGATCACCTTTGTATTAGCTTCCATGGCAATTTCCCACTGCCAGCCCATTACAGATTTTCTTCATGCCAGAAACTCTTTGAAATGGTAAATTATGTGCATTCTTCATTACTGTATGCATCTCTTAAGAAAAATCCCGAATTTGAGAAAATTAGATACTTTGGATGTATCATTGTCAGATATTTTCTTATAAATGACAGTTTGTAGAAAAGGAGCTAATATTAAATTCCACTCACCTACAGATGAAGATTTTCTTCAACAGGTGAACAGCGGACATCATAAAGTTGTTCGGACAGTTGTAATCACTATTAAAGTCAGTACTGCTGAAAGGCAAATGTGGTTAAGGTAATGAAAAGATGATAGTATTCTGAGGATGTGAAGTAATGCTGAAAGAACCCATGCATTTGCATGCAAGTTGACAGTTAAAAACTGGTTATTCTTCAGCAAAAAAACAAATACAAGTAACAAGAAGAGGTGCAAGTGAATTTAAAAGACAGAGAGAAGCTTTCTTTTTCCAAACAGATGTTGTCATTCTTAATTGTAAATATGCAGTAATCCATAGTGCAGTGTTTTGAGGCAAATAATCCCATTGTTCACATTTCATGAATCTTCAAATATCTTTCAGTCTTACTGCAATTATCACTCTCCAATAATAAAGTCACGTGTTACTCAAAATCAGAGATCCCTAGGTTTTCTTAACCATTTTTTCGTTACTTAGATTCTTTTCTTCCCACCATTTAGAGGTAGTGTTGCAGCATTTATATAGTGTAGAATTCTGCTTTTCTTTCTTTCTGCTCCTCCCTCTTTTTCAAACATTCTGGGTTCACTAATCCAATTAACCTTTAGGGTCTCATTGATTTATACTGTCTCAAAAAACTACTTTTTAGCAGTGTCAAAATGTTTTCCCTGCCAACATTTATCATTACCGTTGCCATATATAGATATAGATATTTCAAGATTCTACAGTCTGCAGTTTCATTTACCATAGCAAGCACTGCTGTCAGGCAGTTCCCTAACATTGGCTTCTTCTGCCAGTGGAAAGATTACAAGGGGTGCTCCACAATTAGAAGAGTAGTCAGCTGTTAAAGGCTAGAGAGTCACAGACCTCAGAGAGACGCGTCTCACAACTACAGTGGGGAAAAATAGTATTTAGTCAGATACCAACTGTACAAGTTCTCCAACTTAAAAAGATGAGAGAGGCCTGTAATTGACATCATACGTAGACCTCAACTATGAGAGACAACATGAGAAAACACATCCAGAAAATCACATTGTCTGATTTTTAAGAAATGTATTTGCAAATTATGGTGGAAAATAAGTATTTGGTCACCTACAAGCAAGCAAGATTTCTGGGTCTCACAGACAGGCTCCTCTGTCCTCCACTCATTACCTGTAGTAATGGCACCTATTTGAACTTGACAGCTGTCCACAACCTCAAGCAGTCACACTCCAAACTCCACTATGGTGAAGGCCAAAGAGCTGTCAAAGGACACCAGAAACAAAATTGTCACCCTGCACCAGACTGGGCAGACTGAATCTGCAATAGGCAAGCAGCTTGGTGTGAAAAAATCAACCGCGGGAGCAATAATTAGAAAATGGAAGCGATACAATACCACTGATAATCTCTCTCGATCTGGGGCTCCACACAAGATCTCACCCCATGGGGTCAAAATGATCACAAGAACAGTGAGCAAAAATCCCAGAACCATACAGGGGAACCTAGTGAATGACTTGCAGAGAGCTGGAAACAACGTAACAAAGGCTACCATCAGTAAAACACTACTCTGCCAGGGACTCGGATCCTGCAGCGCCAGACGTGTGCCCCTGCTTAAGCCAGTACATGTCTGGGGCCAACTGAAGTTTGCTAGAGAGCATTTGGATGATCCAGAAGAGTATTGGGAGAATGTCATATGGTCAGATGAAACCAAAGAAGAACTGTTTGGCAGAAACACAACTCACTGTGTTTGGAGGAGAAAGAATGCTGAGTTGCATCCAAATAACACCATACCTACTGTGAAGTATGGGGATGGCAACATCATGCTTTGGGGCTGTTTCTCTGCAAAGGAACCAGGGTGACTGATGCGTATACATGAAAGAATGAATGGGGCCATGTATCGTGAGATTTTGAGTGCAAACCTCCTGCCATCAGCAAGGGCACTGAAGGTGAAATGTGGCTAGGTCTTTCAGCATGACAATGATCCCAAGCACACCTCCAGGGCAACGAAGGAGGGGTTTCGTAAGAAGCATTTCAAGATCTGGAGGGGCCTAGCCAGTATCCAGATCTCAACCCTATAGAAAACCTTTGGAGGGAGTTGAAAGTCTGTTGCCCAGTGACAGCCCCAAAACATCACTGCTCTTGAGGAGATCAGCGTGGAGGAATGGGTTAACATACCAGCAACAGTGTGTGCCAACCTTGTGAGAACTTACGGAAAACGTCCGTCTTCTGTCATTGCCAATAAAGGATATATAACAAAGTATTGAGACAAACTTTTGTCAAGGACCAAATACTTATTTTCCACCATAATTTGCAAATAAATTCATTAAAAATCAGACAATGTGATTTTCTGGATGTGTTTTCTCATGTTGTCTCTCATAGTTGAGGTCTATGTATGATGTCAATTACAGGCCTCTCTCATCTTTTTAAGTGGGAGAATTGAGCATTTTTACCGTCTAAGATACGGAAGATGTTTGTTTTTTTTTAAAACAGGACATCATCTGTTTAATAAACGGCATCTTGCAAACCTATTACAAACATGTAGCTATTATAAACAGACTAGAAACCCTTATGTAAGTCACATTTATTATATTGTGGTTTGCAAATGTGTTAACTCCCATCAACTTGTCATTCGTATCTAGTGGGGAAAGTGCCCCTCTGTATGTAACACTGCCCATCACAATAACATTCTTGGTATCTTGGTTTTTAAGGCTGTTCCTAAGGTTATTTGGGGGCATTGATTCAGAAAATTTGTATTGTATAGACTGTATCAATTCTAGTTTCTTAGATATCATGATTCTTTATGAGCGAGCAGATGATAACTAGTATATAGAATATGCTCTGTATCTCAACTACTAGACGTAATAAGAGGAAACTGGTGCTCTTTTTGGAATCGGCAGGTCAAATCTACCAAGAAACAAGTCTTAACAGTTGAAGCACCAAAATGTGTATTTGCTAGTGTAATAGTTAAAGGGTATAACTTTTAACTATGAGACTCAAACCGATACGTGTTTTTATTAATATTGTTTTATCTGGTTTTATATTTGAATTAATTGTTTTAATTGTATTTTATGTTTTTGGTGTTGACTGTAAACCGCCTTGAGTCGCCTGCGGGCTGAGAAGGGCGGTATATAAATATAGCAAATAAATAAATATAAACAAAAGTAGCTGTTGCTCAGTCACTGGATTTGTTAACATATAGTTATAATATCTAGCATTTGGGAAAGCCAGAATCTGACCAAGTTTGGATACATTCTTTGTGTCCAATCCTTTACATTTTAATGTTTCTGTTTTACTGCTGGGGGATATATAATGTATTTTTGAAATATAAATAGATGGGTTTTTAAGAATGTGGCATACTATATAGGACAGCTGAATTTTAAAATAAAAAAACTAGAAGCAGTGTATTGTCTTAACTGTGTGTCATTTCTCCCCCAAAAGGTTTGACTGTTACGGTGGACTCTCCAAGATAAATACACCTTTACAGACGCCTCTCAAGCTGTCCTTGGATGACTGGAGCATAAACCCAGCCAATGAAGTCTATGGATTATTTGCCGTAGTGATGCACAGTGGCATTACTATCAGCAGTGGGCACTACACAGCCTCTGTTAAAATTACAGATATCGACAGCTTAGAATTAGACAAGGATGATTTCATCCTTGATGCTCTTGGTAAAATTTGCCCAGAGCCACTGAATGAACAAGAAGCAAGAGCTGTCACTGAGGACTATGATGATGGTGAGGTCTCCTTTAGAGTTGGTGGAAATGCACAACCTAATAAAGGATTAAACAAAAAGAATACAGAAGCTGTGGGGCTTCTCGGAGGACAAAAGAGCAAATCCAACTGTGATTTGCCCATTAACAAAGCAAGCCATTCTGAGAAGATGGCTAACATGGTCATTGACACTAAAAGTGCTGAATGTAGCCATGCTAAACAAATCGTGGAGTTTAAACATGATGAGCAAACTGCTGCTGCCGCTAATGGAGTAGAAAGTAAAGCCGTTCACATTATGCAGAGCCTCAAAGAGTATGAGGGAAAGTGGCTCCTTTTTGATGATTCTGAAGTGAAAGTTACAGAGGAAAAGGACTTTCTTAACTTTTTGTCCCCCATTTCATCATCTACATCCACTCCTTACTTGCTGTTTTATAAGAAAATTGTAGTTTGAGGTTGTATTACATTGTAAATAATAGTTTTGCATCAGATTGGCACTGAAGAGCATATGACATATTTGAGGCTACAGAATTAAATTCATTGGTCTCTTTGACTCTATAAAAATGGTGTGATTTTAAAGTGAATAATTCACTTGATAGAATCTATATAAAATCAACCTAGCAATGCAAACATGTATATATCCTGTTGAATAAACAATGTCTGAAGAGCACAGTAACATATACCAGTGGGTCTGATTTCATCACTACCTGTATATTAGCTATTTTTAAATAAAATTATTTGTACCCACATTTTTAAGTGGTAGTAAAAAAAAAAAGTATTGGTTTCTTCCTGTGAATTGGGTCTGCATGAAAAGCTTAAACTCTTGCTGAAATTGTTCTGACCACCCAACTGTTTCTTTGATGTTCAAATAAGTCAATGAAAAGGCATTTTATACCCACCTCAGTTTCAAGATAGTGATGTGTATTGTGTACCTCATTGCAGTGTCTTGGCTTAATATATCTATTTATATGGAATGTTGAAACTTAATATTTGTATATTTTTAAAGACAAGGCTGTGAAACTAGCCTTAGTTCTTTAGTTACATGTACAGAGAATTTCTAGGGAATGCTTCATAAACCACATGTTTAGTTAAATATTTAAAAGGTGAAATTGGAAGGTGAAAGTGTCCATTTTATTGCATATAATACAGGGAGTCACTGGTAATTGACGCTTCTTCCAGTATCTTACTCATATAACTGTTGGCTCTAAAATCAAGGTTGCTTTCATGTAACCTGTTAGATAGCCCTGGCAATGTCTGGTGAACTGATTTCATAATTTAAATCATAATTAAATTAAACTTACTTTGACTTTATCCCAACAATTGTGGATTCTAAGACTGCAATTTTTCCAAATATAATTTCCTAAACCTTGCATATACAGGAGTTAGCACATTAAGCCTATATTGTACTAGGGTTCTGACATCTTTTCTGATGTCCATGCCCTCTCCCAGACTAATTAAAAGCGCTATTAATCTCAAAAGTAATAAATAGGCTGGGACTGGCTTCCCTTAAGGAGTTTTTTTCCCCCTATGTAGTTGTTACAGTTGGAAGTAAGGAATCTCCAGGTGCCCATGCCAATTGAAAGGAGAGGCAGTTGAGATTATTGAGATTTACCTGGTTATGGAGAGCACTGACACATATATTGTGGTCTCTTTAAGACTAGTTGGAAGTAATTTTCCAGATATTTTTCAATCTTATCTAAATTTCAAATTGACTGCCATTATTGGCTTTACTCTGTACTGTTGTTCATTCTCTTTCTTCTCTCCTTTTTCAATATTTACTATAAATCTCCAAGATAGTTTTCCTTACTTGGTAGTTGCACACATTTTTAAAGTATAGTTGGTCCTAAGATTCTGTTGGGGTTTGGATCTGAAATGGCGGGAGACTACAGCAGGGTCTGCTTACACATCAGCATAATGCTTGGTGTCAGCAAAATCAAGCCTTGTTTTTTGGAATTTTCCCTGAACATTTTTGAGTTGTGGCTAGCTGAATTCATGAACGAAGAACTCGTGGATACAGAGGGTCAACTAGTTTCAGCTAACAGTTTATTTATTTATTTATTTATTTGCTTTATTTCTATACCGCATATTTCAGCCCAGACAGGCGACTCTATGCGGTTTACATGATACAAATTATTAACAGTGTCAGTGCAATTAAAACGCAACACGTGCGACAAACAGGATCAACAACATCAATCCACAACAGTTAACAAAACAGAACAGGACAGTCAACACATACAACATAACGCCTCAGTGAAATCAGATCCGTTCTCATAATCCTTGTGCCATTCCTATGTTCCATTTACCGTCTTCCTTGATTGATTGCACTGTTCAACCAAACGCCTGTTCATAAAGCCAGGTCTTAACCTTTTTCCGAAACGCCAGCAACGAAGGTGCCTGTCTGATGTCTGCCGGCAAGGCATTCCATAGCCGAGGGGCCACCACTGAGAAGGCCCTGTCTCTCGTCCCCGCCAAGCGCGCCTGTGACGCAGGCGGGACCGAGAGCAGGGCCTCCCCAGACGATCTTAATGTCCTAGTCGGTTCATAGGTGGAGATGCGTTCGGAGAGGTAAGTGGGGCCAGAACCATGCTTTACAATTGACCATGACAATTTTCCTGCAAACATGAATATTTAATAACTTGAAGAAAACATGCTAGAAGCAGCTTCAAGTTTAAGACCATTATCTTCATCTGATCGTTTTATGAACCACGGAATGATTTTGCTTTCTTATAAAGTCAGGTTAAAATTGTAAGATACTGAGACACTGATTTTCCTCCAAACATACACCCAACAACTTTCTTCCTCTCTTACCGCCTTCAGCAGTACTTGAGCACTGGTTCTGAGGGTTTGTCAGGCTCTTATGTCACATTTGTGGATGCATGGTGGTCTTGCAGTTCTGGTGATGGAAGCAATTCAATCAGCAGGTGTGCACTGCTGGATTTAGGCCACTTTTTAAAAAGCCAGACCATTGTATGGCAGTTACAAATGTGTAACCTGGAATCACAGACACGTGACTTTTGTGTTCATGATGTATTGTCTACTCATCCCCTAGTTTAGAATTATGTAGGGACTGAAAGTATACCATTGTGAACTTACTAGGAAACAACCACTGAGATTGACAGCTGCACTGGAAATTGCTCACAGGAAAGGGCTAGGTATGGCATTCAGCTGCTTCCTAAGCTAAGGGATCAGATTCCTGTTGATCAATTACATTGTTTCCCATAAAGGTTTGAACTGGAATTTGTAGTACAAACACATACAGGATTCCTGCTGAAACAAGTTAGTGTATGTTTCAGCTTGTACTGCCTTCTGTTTTGGGTGTCAGTCATGTCCTCTAGAAAACTATTTCCAATGTAGCTTCATCACTTAAAGGATGACACATACCAGGCTCATATTTCATATTTCAGTAGCTGCAAACTGACCAGACAGGAAAACATTGATCAACCTTGTTTCTCTGATTCCGCCCCCCCCCCCCCCCCCATAAGTAGAAACATTTTCCTGCAATACACAGCAGCGTTGACTACCAACACATCCTACACAGCTCTCTAGATGTTGAATAATATTTACTGGCATTCCTCACCACTGGCTATGCTGCCTACAGCTACTGGGAACTGCAGTTCAATGAAATTTGGAGGTTCAGATGCTTCTCACTTGTGCCCAATTAGGAAAACCGGGTGGGGAGAAGCGACCACTGGCCCAAATAAAATTAGAACATTTTACCATCTGTTTCTACCTGTGGCTTCAATACAGAAACTCAAGTCTTCCTGTTCCTTGAAGCCATCCACAAAGCATAAAAAAACGACAACAATCCACATATAGATAGAAAATGGAAATGACAAATGGAAGCTCTCCTTGCTTAATAACTTTTGACCACACAGTTATCTGAGGGACCTCTGCTGATAAAGATGAATTTGAAAGCCGATGCACCATGGAAAAGTGTAAACATTCCAATATTTAATGGTACCATTAAAATAAACACTACATGAGAAATGGGTTGAATGCATTTGCTCCTAATATAAATTAAATATATGAACTAAAAAAATCCACAAATTTAATGTTAAGGAATGCTATAAATAATGTTTGATGCATTTAGATAGAGTACCTTCAAATATTTAAAAAACAGTTTAAAAAACGGGTGTGTTGACAATCCCACCAGTACTTTGCATACTATTACCACAGTTTTTTAATTAGTAAAAAGTCTATATTTGACAATTCAGAAGGAAAATTTGGCCACTTAAGACTTCCATGTAAGCTAGTGTTCAAGTTGTCCAGAATGAAGTCCAAAGCTTTATTTTCAAAGCTTTTTTTTTTAAAATTCCAGATGTTGATAACACTGCACTTTCTTGTTCAGTACCTTAAAAACCCTAAGTGCTTTTGAGGTGCTTAAAGGTCCATTTTGCGAAGGCTCAATCTGCTGAAGGAATCTCTGGGGAGGAAAAAACAATGAGGTAAGGTACTGTCTTCCATCCTGTGAATGATAACAGTCCCACTTTCTGAGCGCAGGATAATATTCCTCAACATTAAAGCGTTCGCCTCTCCTCTTGCATTTGCCAACTTCAACATATTCATCAAGATATGGTCTGAAATCAAGAGGACTTCAAACACATTTTCAAGTGTCATGCTAAAGGCTGATGAGCCATATGGTTCTGAGCAAGAAACTCTTATCTAGGTTCAGAACCAAATTAAATGGCTTACAAAAACAACACCTCAAATCTTTGCCTTGGAGATAAAATTTACATTTTCTGTTATGTTTATTAGACATGAAATAAAATTTAGCATCCAATCAGTTTGTGTGTGTGTGTGTGAGAGAGAGAAGTGACTTGAGAAACTGAAAGCCACTTCTGGTGTGAGAGAACTGGCCATCTGCAAGGATGTTACCCAGGGGATCCTTTGATGTTTTATCATCCTGTGGGAGGCTTCTCTCATGTCCCCGCATGGGAAGCTGGAGCTGACATGGGAGCTCATCCCATCTCGCAGATTCGAACCACTGACCTTCATGTCAGCAGTTCAGCCGGCCAAGGGTTTAACCCATTGCACTATCACTCGATCCAATCAGGTGAACACCTTTTTCTAGATGCATGAATGCTCAGCTGTTCAATGGAGTATTAGCCTGTGAAATGTAGTGTTATGCTTATTGGATTTTGGAAATGCTTCCAGTCCATTTTGGATAGAATATCTGTTGTTTGCCTTTTGAACAAATGTGTACCTGAAACTCCTATCATTTGTACCAGCTAAAAACTACTAAAACCAGGAAAGTTACTATTCTGATCTATAACACCCGTATTTCTCCAGGGAGTATGGAAGTTGACCAAGCAATAACTCTTCCAAGTGACAGCTTCCTTTATGAATTACTGGATCAAATAAAACTAGTACTTAGCCAGTTTTCCTATTCCAAACTACAACACCCTTAAATCTCCAGGGATAATGGAAGTTGTTGACTAAACAATACCTTTTCCAAGTGACAGCTTTCTTTATGGATCAAAAATAGCTAGTTCTAAGTCAATTCCTAGTCCCAACCAAAGAAATTATCAACACTTTTATTACATGACAGGTAGAAGATTTCAATGTATGTTCCCTTGGTAGTTTTCATTCAGCAGGACTTGGAGGAGGAAAGGGGTTAAAATAGCATTAGAATGACCTGTGGCAAGCAGCTGGAAGTACAGCCTTGTATAATTGGGGGATT